GGATTTTTAAAACCCTTCAAACCCTCATGTACAAATCCATAATAATTAATGTACCAATGTGAAAAAAATATACAAACGCTTTGCATCCTCTATGCTTGGAAGATGATTACGTTGTCGTTTGGATTTTTAAAACCCTCCAAACCCTCATGAATAATGTTTTTTGTTTGAGTGCAAAATTAATAATAATTTCAAACTTTCAAAGGCTCGTTTAGAAGTGCTTTCAAAATGACTGAAAGTGATTTTGATGAGAGTGCTTTTAGAACCAATCTTTAGTAAAAAGTAAATCCTGAAAAAACACTTAAAGTGCTACTAGTGCTTCTTGCATGAAGCACTTCCAGTGCTTTTGGAACTCAAAAATATTTTCACCAAAAACACTTTCAGTCATTTTAAAATCACTTTCAAATAAGCCATAATTTAAGAACCAGAAGAACTAAGTGTTTCCCCAACTTAATGTCCTTTAAAAGTATATTTTGAGAAAGAGTTAGAATTGAGAAAATAGAAGTTACTAAAGTAAAAAATAAAAAATAAAAAATCTTAAATAGCATTACGAATTTTGAAAAAAAAAAAAAAACATGAATTATCAATATTTATGAGTAATTTCTTTTATGTATTTCGTCTACTAATGGGATTACAATCCCTATATGGCCGAGATAAACCATGAATCCAATGCAACAAAGATATTTTCTTAAACGCCACTCTTAATTGGTGACCTTTATCAATGTATCCATAAGTTAAACGTTCACTGACCAAACGCGCGAGATAGTGAGGATTTCAAACAAACCAATTAAGGAATGTCACGTGTGCAGTAATGAATCATTTTCAAGTTCATATTTCCTACTATATAAAGACATAATGACCAACCATGGAAACGTAAGTGTTCCTCTTCCAAGAAACCCATAGCTTTCGGATTTTACTATTCTTTAGAGTCTAACTTAGACAATGGAGGGGTTTTTATTCACACCACACCAGTAATCAGTATGACAAGGTTTTACCCATCAATTCTTTCATTTGTCACGGGAACACCATAACTATTTTACCCTTGTGTAAAATTCTTTCCTCATAGTTTGGATATTAAAATTAGAATGTGTGGTTGAGCAATAAGCAATAAAATAAATGAGGGTAATAAAAATAAAAATATTTGAGAAGCTTTGTAACCTAAATAGGTGTAAAGAATATTTGAGCATTAGTGGTACCACTTAAGTTGATTTAGTGTGAGTGTGATTGCGAAGGACAATTATTTCAGCATCATTAGTTAAAATCACCAATCTTAACATCTTAGTGACTATGTAGACACCAATTATTTGGCACTAGAGTTTAGATACGTCTTTCATTCTGATGGCAAACGAAGCATCAACATGATTAAAGCCGCTGTTACCCTGACTTAATCCTGATGGACTTTCACAAATCTAAATCCAATCATCCATCTGCGACTTAGTATTATGATTTAATGATATTTTTCTTTACTTGTAAGTGAAAGATTTTAGATTTAATTCTTGTCAAAAGAAAATTTAAACCACATGAATGACTGGTATTCCTCTTCACTCTTATAAGTGAGGGTGGATTATCCCGTTTGTGAGGGAAAAAAAAAAAAAAAAAAATCCAATCATCCATCTTTTGTAATCAAAAGTTTGTCACTACTGGCAAGCACTAGTCAATATCATCTGGTTTAACACTCTCACCGCGACGCATGATTACTCATAACATCCAAAGAGCATCGCAATATATATTTATTTTGTATTTATATATGTTAAAAATGTGATAATCAACATTGTTACTCAGTTATATTATAACCACTGTTCTAAAAACTTCTTCCTGGAAAAGCCTAGGCGCTAGGCGGTTGGCTACGGTCCCGATTAATGCCTAGGTGTTTGAAAACTAAGAAAGGGCACCTAAACCTGCTGAGGCGCCATCCTAGACCGCCTAGGCACCCTCCTAACCTGCCCAGACCCACCTAGGCACCCGTCCAGGTTGCAACTCACTTAGACAAAAAATAGATAACTTTCATTTTGTATTTTATTTTTTTAAATAAATTGTAAGAGACTTATTGAATACTTAAATGAACACACATTATATGCTTGTTCCCCATGTTTTTCCTTATATTCCAATACTTCATAATATATATGTCATTCTATTTTGTAGTTTATGATAAAATTATATATATTTTAAGTATAAAGACACTTATTTACACGAAATATAATAGATTTATTTAAATCCGCTTAGGCGTTAGGCCATAGCCCGCCGTCTGACTAGCGCCTAGCAGATTTTAGAACCTTAATTATAACAAAAAAAGTAATGATAAATTTTTAAGCTTAATATGGTCATCATAAAAAAATCTTGCTAATATTAGGAGTCGAATCTTCTACATATAAATTATATATTATTTTGTTATATTTTTTACACGAATTTATTCACTAACAAGTAATACTTGATGGGACAGCATTCCAAATATGCGTAAAAATTTCTCTAAAAATAGAGAGAAGGGATTTTATGTCATTAGTTTTGTCTCACGCCGCTGTGTTTAGCTAGTCGTTAATTATTTGTTTAGAGGAAAGTAATAGGAGCTCAATGATTAGAGACTCGTGAGTCATTTTTTAACATAAAGCGTGCCAGTTGGCATTGTATGCAAGACATGACAATTTTCTTTATTTTCTTGAATTTAGGCCAATGGGCAAATGAAGTGTGGCAAATAACGAAGGGGGAGATAATAATGAATACTATGAACAAGATAACCACTAATACACTGGGTTTTAAATTTCATTTAAGTCTAATGGAAGCATTGGGGCCCTTTTAGGGTTTCCCCACTAAATTAATTTACACCCTAATTCTACACACACACACATACACCTAACTATTTCTTTAATTACTTGGTATTGTCACCTAGTTTGAGCACCCTACATGGTTGTCTACATTCTTTGGACTCCACATTAATTCATTTCATTTTCTTAATTATATCAACATCAAGCCACCTGACATTACCGTCTAATATTATTTTTCTTCACTTACAAATTAGAGGTTATAAGTTTGATCAACTCTGATAAATGGGAAATTCGATACTCATTATTTTGCTAGTTCGTTGTATGACTTGTCCCAAATCTCTAATCCCTTAGTATAAACACACCGTTGTATTGAAAATATTTGGGCAGATCACTTCTAATGGAATCTTGAAGTGTTTGCTACATACACTCACATAGTCTAACTATTTATGATTTTCTTTTCGGGTAATAACTATGCATAATTTTTGGCTCAACAAATATTTCTTGTTTAGTGGCATGCATATATAAAAATGAAAAGAAATAGAGATTGTCCATCTTCAACTTTGACACTACTTGAACCCCCCACGAATCTTTCACTTCAGTTCATTAGATAATTTTGTAGAATCATATTGTTCTTCAAGTTTTTCATAGTAAATCTAAGATTTGAAGACGAGAGAATAAGAGTCGAACTTTTATTATGAACAACAAAAATATTTTATTACTAGTTCTATGCATTGCTTGTAATTTTGCTTATTATTATATAAGCATAAAATTCAAGAAATATCACTGTATCCTTGACATTCGAATATTAAGTGACCCTATAAATTTAGCTAAAAATGGTCGTGGGTAGTTTCTAAGATTTGAAGACGAGAGAACAAGAGTTGAACTTTTATTGTGAGTAATAATTATATTATTATTAATTTGATGCGTTGCTCGTAATTTTTCTTATTATTTTACACGCATAATTTAGGAAATCACTCTATTCTTGACATTGGAACATTAGGCGACCCTCTAAGTTCAGCTAAAAATGGTAGTGGGTAGTTTCTAATTAGCTAAAAAAGATTTCCACAATGATCCTAATACACGATACTTACATAAATGAAGACAATAAAGGAAGTGAATTGTTATTAGCACTCAAAAAATTTCATTCTACACTCCTCACAAATGTATTTTTTTCTTCTAATTATACAAAATTTAGAATGTAAAATAAGATTTTTAGAATGTCAATAATAATTTCTTAAAGAAAAAGTAATTATAAAGACATCATTAGTAATTCAAGTACTTCATTCTCCAAGTACATTTCCGAGAGAGAGAAATTGAAAAATGAAAGAAAAAGAAAAAAGAAAAAAGGAAAAAGAAAGAAGGGTAGTATAAACCTTTGAAAGTGGGTAGCTTTTAAAAGTCATTTAACATAAAATTGCTTAAAATCTTGGAAGGTGGTTAACTTTATGGTCTTCTTCTCTGAACCCCATGAAACCCTCTCACTAAAGAAAACTTAGGACTGGATCCCCTTGCGTATAGAATTAAAGGAAACATCCAATTCTATTAGTGAAAAGTAACAGCTAAATCGTGATAGTTCTTTTATTACTAATGTAGTGTTTACTGACCGAGTTTTAAATTAGATTGGATAACAAGACGGAAATATAATTACATTTATAGTTAATTTCAGAAAAACAATCATATAAATAGAAATCTAACACTGTTTATTCTGCTCATATAGTACACTGGGGAAAGATTGTGCTCTTTTCTCTTTTCCAAGGCCAATTATAAGCAAACTAACAAATATTGTTTTAAGGCTTATTCTCTAAATTGCCTTATGAAACTGTCATTTAGTCTCGATTTATATTTTTGAAACTGGTTTTGTCTTACTTTACCTTCTGAAACTGCCATCTCTTGGTCTAAGGTAACTCTAAATTCAAGAGCATTTTGAGCATTCAACTTCTTACACCTCTTTGTCTTGCCTCCATCCTTCCTTTCGGTTTAGGCAACTGATCTTCTTGATGAAACAAATTGAAGTCGTGAAAGAAGAGAACGAAATTGGACAATTTATTATGTTTGAATTTGATTTTTTTTTTTTCACTGAATGTGGTGAAATGAGACTAAATGAGTTGCATATGACAGTTTTTGAAGGTAAATTGAGACTAAATGACAGTTTCATGGGCAATTTAATTAGTAAGTTTTATTTATTTATTTTTATTTTTAACAAATTAATGCATCCACGCTGTTATTTATGTTTGGACAATGCAGTGATCGAATGTGATCAATTTTGAAACTTAATTATTTATTTTTGATAAAATAAACAAAAAAAAAAGAGAAAAAAAATGCAGTCCTTAATCTGTACTAGCTAACTAATACTCCCACAAGAATGGCTCCTCTAGCCTGAATCCAGTGTCAGCTGCACACAAATGCCAAGTTGAAGAAGAATAATAGCAAAAATTATCGCTTCCATCTTTCCCATCCATGACAAGATCTGGTAGGTCAAACAATTGCTCCTCATCATAATCTGTTGAAGCAGAAGCACAAGTGCTACTTGATTCTTGAGCATTGGACAAAGTTGAATTTGCTGACATGGGGAGCTTGGCCTCTGCTTCTTTAGTTTCTGCTTCACAAATAAGCTGCTCTTCCTCAGAAGCAGAAGCAGATGCTGCTTCTGCTGCTGCCTTGGCAGCTGCAGCTTGGATGTCCTTTGGAGACTTGGAGTTTGGCTGGGGAAGTGCTTGGGCCAGTTCAGGGAAATTGAGATAAGCAGAAGCACCTTTGATGGCTAGAGCTGCCACATCATGAGCTCTAGCTGCCATTTCAGCTGTTTGGTATGTCCCTAACCATATTCTTGATTTCTTCCTCGGCTCGCGAATTTCCGACACCCATTTTCCCCAACTGCGCATTCGTACGCCGCGGAAAGTCGGGTGCTTGCCATTACTGTCATCACTAGTTGTCCTCTGCCTCTTCTTGTTGTTGCCTTGCTCCTTCTCATTGTTTGGCTCTTGCCCTTTTTTGGAGTACAATTCTCTGATAGAGAAACTCGTGTGCTTTTGTGATCCGCCAATGAATGGGAATTCGTTATCGTGGAGGAGGAGGAAGAGGAGGAGGAGGAGGAGGAGGAGGTGGTAGTGGTGGTGAGGAGGTTTTCTTGAGCATCACTCTCTATGTTGATTTGGTTTGCCATGATAGGGGGCCTAACTAGCTCCAGAGTTTTACAGAAACAAATGTGAGTGGTGCATAAAAACATAGAGGTGTTGGGCTTTTATGATTCTCTATAAAAACAAAAAATTGAAATTAAAATATAAAGGAAAAGAAAAAAAGAAGAATATGTATGAAGAAGCATGGTGGGGTCCAATGGCATGAGAGAGAGAGAGCATATGGGTAAATAGACTTGTAGTGTATGCTTTGAGAGCGCATATGGGAATGGATTAGCAGGTACGCTTTGAGACCATCTTTTGCATCCACAATTTGCTTTTCTTTTATTTAAGATATGTAAATTTGTTTTTTTATCTTCCCATCTTATCCTTGCTTGGTCTATCTTTTTCTCTTTTTCACTTTTTCATGTTAAATATATATTTGTTTTGGTCACAAAATTTGGTCTTTCCTTTTCTCCTTATTCTCTTTTTTTTTTCACCTTAAATAAATATATTTTTTTGGTGACTAAGCATATTCATTTTTTATGTGAAGAACATAAAAAATTATTTGAGATTTTGGTAGGCCTCACTGTGGTCTCAATAATTCTCACACTAGAGGTTTGTTTAGTTTGTCCAATTGATTTGAAAGGAAACTACCTATATATTTCACGTTTATTTTATTTTTCTAGGAGTTAGGGTGTGTTTCTTAACATAGTAGTTAGTAGAGTACATCATGTACCAATGTCCAAAAATATTAAATAATTTTTAAACACTTTCTTTTGTCTTTTTCCACGTTCTTATTTATTTCTGGCATTTAGTTTAATGAAACTAAAAGAAAATTAAGAAATGGAAAAAGAATAAAAGTTGCAAAAATAGGACAAAAACCTATGAGTATTCTAAGTTTATTCGTTCATGTCATATATAGAAGGCCTTTAAGGGAAGGGATCCATATTTTTAAAATGAGGATTAGTTGTGGGACCCACACCACATTGAACTTCAACAATCAGAACCTTCTATTTTTCAAGTTGGACCTCATAAATCATCCTTGCAAAATATTAGCCAAATCGGAAATATTTGAGATATCTAATTGAGTTAAAAAAACTGACGAACACTTTGTTTTATAAGAAACAATGAAGTTTCATTGTGATAATCAAATAGGCAAATAGTTTCAGATTAGATTGAATTTTTGCAAGAATGATCTATGAATAGAGACGTACAAAATGGAAGGTTCGGATCGTTAAAATTCGACGTAGAGTAAGCCCTACAACTAGTCCCCATTTTTATCCAAAAACGAGGATCCCGTTAGATACAGGGCCTGATCATATACGTATTCTACCTTCAACTTGGTCCAATTATATCTCCATATTGCTCTGGCCTCTGCTACAACCTTGTTTGATATATTGTACCAAAGATTCTTAGAAAAGATTCTTAGCATAGTAGCCATATTTCAATTGGTCTATTAATTTAATTTTAACTAATATTATGTTTGATCTTCATTAATTTAATTTTAAAATTAAATGAATGGACCGATTGAAATATGGCTACTATGCTAAGAATCTTTGGTATACAAGACAGCATAAGCAGATGATGAAGTGTCAAAAACCCATAAAGTAGTCACACAAAGATCCGATCTTAGGGATGAAGACAATAAATGCAGCCCATATACACATGAATATTATTCAAATACTAGGAGACTACCACCTCATGCATTTTCTCCATAACTAATTATGCTAATCACTGTCTTAATTAGTTTCGTATAATCCTTGATTAATTAATATGTTGTATTTGCTATCAACATATCTCTTAATCACCGTATGTTGATCAAGTTTCAGGATATTTAGGGATCTAATGAATTAATTTATCCTTATATTTCCTCAAGATTTTTTTTTTCTTCACATAGTTAACTTTTTATTTCGAATTTTTGCATTAGAAATTCAAGGGCATCATGTTACTTTGAATTTTATTTTTTGTTTTTTTTATTACATCGATATTTTTTACATTAAAAGAAGAGGGAGTTCGGCTAAGCAACACACAATGGGCAGCGTAATTTGGTATTATTAAATCTAAAACATACAAGAGACACTAACTCACATCATGTTACTTTGAATTTTGTTAACTCATATCTCGTGCACTTTAGATACAATTTATTTATAATTAATAAGCAATTGTCATGTTATGTGCTACACCAGTTAGTGTTATGTTAACAAGTAACTACCATATATATGTTCTCATGTTCAGATTTCACTTATATTTGGGCCTACTCTAAGTATCATTTATTTACAACTAATAAGCAAGTGTTATGTTATAAGATACATCATTTAAAAAGCTGGTTAATAATTGGTGCTGTATTCGACATGGGTAATGCTCAGGAGAAGAAATTTGTAGACTAAATTTGCAAACAAAATGATATGTCACCAATAAACACGTCAATTAACACTTAAATAATAACTCAATCATCAACTTCCACAAAATTTAGTTTACCAAATTTAGTCTTCCTAACATTACTCATTCAACATATACTAGGGATATTGCACCATCGTGTATTGTTAGGATGAAAAATTTCACATATTGGTTGTGTTTTGACAGCATTGAGAGAGTAATTTAGCTCTAAGTTGTTGGCTTTGTTTGTGGTCTAATCACCAACTCATAAATTAAATTAAGAAATTTGGATTAATACTGCACTTGTTTTTCCTAAAACAGGACAACCCCCCACCTAAGAAACCTTTTCAAAATTAGTAATACTAAGAGAATCAAATTTTTAGATTAAATTTACAAATCATGTAATGTGTCATAAATAGAAAATAAATACATTGATATATACTTAAGTAATAATTCAATTATCAAAAACCATAGTATATAATTTTCATAGTCTCCCCGCATTACCCGAATTTTTTTTTGATATTCGGGTAATGAGGGCAGACTATGAAAATTATATTTTGTAAATTACATAGAATGATTGTTGATAATTGAATTATTACTTAAGTATTGAACAACATATTTATTTTCTATTTGTGACATGTTACATGATTTGTAAATTTAATTTAAATTTTTAATTCTCTTCCTTCATTCAAAAAATTTAATTCTCTTTAGTATTACTAATTTTGGAAAGGTTTCTTAGGTGGGAGTTTTCCTGTTTACCATCATTGTATGTCTTGGTATGGTCCATGGCATGGACCAAACAACAACAGTAAAATCATATTCTGAGAGGTGGGATGTGTTCAGACGTGGGCTTCAAGGAATTTAAATTTACGTAAGAGAAAAATAAATTCTCTCTTATTATATATAGCAATAAAATTGACCGATACATGGCTTATGGTGCACGTGGCACAAATACATTGTCATCATAACGATTTTTGTAATTGAGGAATGCTATGTGTTAGGAAAAAAAAATGCTAACGCGTAAGTTTTTCTTCATTTAGTATTGTATTATTAACACGAGTTGTAGTTGTAATTATACTGTTCTTCTTGCAGAGGTATTGAAACTTTTAAGAATAGTACTTGACTCCTTAAGAATGAGTGAGAATTCTTACTCAAAACTTTTTTTAATTAACTCACAAAATTTCGTACTTATAATCAGAACAATCATATTATAAAGCACTTTGTAAAGATCATTTCTAAAAAAAATTAAAAATTAAAAATTATGTCGTTTTGTCAATCAATTGTAGCAAATACTAAATAGATATTCGGTTTGTTTAGTCAAACCAACTGTAATATTTTAAACCGTCTATATATTTGATTTGACTAAATAACTTTAATTTTTTGTGATATTTTGACATATATTATCTTTACAGAATAATATGTTGGGGCTCTATTGATAATTACGAAGTTTTGTAAACCAATCATGAACAAATTTGAATAAGAATTTCTACTAAATCATTAGTAACCAAGTATGTTCCAACTTTTATTGAGGCCTCGTTTGGCAACTCGAACTGTACTGACTATTTCTGTCGGATAGGATAAATAGCTACCGGATAGTACTGATTAAATTAGTCGGGTGTTTGGTGCAGTATCGGACTAGTGACCGTATTATTTATACTGTGTTTGGTATTATACTAGATAGGAGGAATCAAACTTAAAAAAAAAAAATTTAAAAAAAGTGAAATCATTTTTTTGTTCCCAGATCTCTCTGCACCCCCCAAACACCCTCCCTTTCTCTCCATTCTTCTTCCCCAACTGCAGAAGAATCCCAAATAATTGTTACCTAGCTCTCTCCGCCACCCCCCCCCCCAAACTCCCTCCCTTTCTCTCCCATATTCTTCTTCCCCGACTAAATAATCCGGGCATTTTGGTTGGTTTTATTAAGCGGGTGTATACCGTATTATCCTATCCGACCGGTTAAATTAATCCGGCGCTTATTTAGTACGAGTGAACGCCAAACATCCGAGTTCGTATAACTAATCATATCCGATCCTTTATCCAATCTGCTAAACAGGGCCTAAGAGAGGTTTGGTTTCAGTCCTCACTAACAACAATGCATCGAAGATGCATGCGTCCAGCTTGAAACCACACAACAAAATGGGGACACTAGGCACGTGAACGTCACTATATCATAATAGATGTTGCATTGGGGTAAAGGAAAATTAGATCCCGGTCCAGAGTACGAACAAATGCCGCAAGCGACCGGACAATAATGAAATCAACACATCTATCCTTCCATTGTTGCTACAAAAACAACAAAGAATATACACTATGACTTAAGTTAATGAGCACCATCACGGTTATGAAAAGTATAACTGAATCTAGAAAATCAGACGAAATATTTAAAATTTCCAAATTGAAAAGGAACTGAAATTTGGAATCCTCAAGAGTTTATATTATTTCTTATTTGACAAGAAAAACTTCACAAGTTTTGAGTCTCACTTATCTCTGATTGGAAATTGACTGAATCGGAATATGTATACATGTACAAACATTGCATTGTGCACATATTCTTAGGGACCATGTTCCCATACTTGAAGTTATTGCCACAAAGGTACGTGGATGGACCTCATGCATGTTATTATGCGACTAAATTGTCAAATTTTCATATTGTACAAAGAGTCTAACTTTCCATATTTTGGCTCAAGTCCGAAACTTGCATAACCCAGAAAGTGAATTCAAACTCAACTCTTATTGTTAAAAGGAAAAAGTTTTGAGTTTCGCTCATCTCTAATTGGAAATTGACCGAATCGAAATATGTGTACACGTACAAACATTGCATTGTGCACATATTCTTAGGGACC